AAACTGAGCTTCTCCAGACCCTCATGAGTCTTCATTAACTCTTTGGCCAGCTTCTTCTGCGGCTCTGCACACTGGCTGTCTGCCGTCTTCTGGCTTAATTTGGACTTCATAAACTCAAGAAAGGTCATCTTAATTTTATCAGCTTCGTCTTTGATGCCCAGCATAGTTTCAATTTCCTCCTCTCTTGCCTTCTTCCATTCATAGAACTCCTCACAGAATTTGATCACTTGATGGTAGGCAAGGGTGTCTGTGGTGCAGTGGCATAAGGCCTCCTGGAAGTCTTCTCTGTAAAACAAATATTACCTGTAGATTAATGTCTGCACTCAACTGTTGATGCAGAGTAAGAGATGAACTGATTTAAACATGTTTAGTAAATATATATGCTCAAAGGGAATATAATGACAGTGCAATTGTAATTCTATCCACTTACTGGCCAGCAGAAATCAGCAGTTAACACAGCAATGCAGTCCATTGATGCATATTGTCAGGAATGGTCTACATTTACTTTCACCTCGACCTCACCTTTTTTTGTGATTGTTTGGTCTCCATATATTCTCAAGAGAACTGTTTGTTCTTTCCTCAGCTATATGGTGCTAAGCAGGTGGCGAATTTTTAGTACTTTCCTCTGAAACGTGTTACCTGCTGTTACCGCAAATGACACTATAACTCATAAAAGATGTGAACCTGAAAACTAAACCATTTGGAGAGGATTTTTCTCAACATTTATGTGTCTTTATACATAAAAATATTCAGTGTATAATTTCTATGCCAATAACTGTTGGGTTCAGTGGGGGACACTGTCCTAATTTATAAACAAAGGACAGACAATTCAGAAAAATGACAGGGCAACAATGTCAGCATGTTTTTGATAGAAAAACGAACTCTTGTTAAAGAGCCTTTGTTAGAAAGGGCTTATTGTGTGAGGGAGCTGTGGAGGTCAATATTTAAAGAGAGGAAGCCAGGCATATCATACTATTTCACTTGACACAGGGCACACATATACGCAGAACATAAAAGTAGAATATAATAAAACGTTTTTACCACCAGATCTTAACCTATACCAATGTTATTATTTATTGCAATGCCATGTAAATGTGTGTGTTGCTAATGTCTTGCAGTTTTGCTGGCTGTGCAAAACTGCAAGCTTTTTCTTTAAAGCCAGTATTTAATATTTTAACATCCATCCACCCATCTTCTTCCACATATCCAGGAATGTTAAATGTCTGAACATTAAAATGATATATTGTAACATATTTTAACAGACTTAGTCACACACTTCCATGCAAACCACATTCATTGCTCTATTTTGACATACTATGGTACAGCATGTGCAAAACAAATAAAGACAATACATTAAAGTTGGTCTGTGTAAGCCTACTATTGAGGGGGGAAAAGCACAGTGCAAAACTATCTCGTTCTTACATACTTAAGCTAGCTTTTTCTTCTTTTTTTTTTGAAAAGGCTAAAAAATGGTTTTGCAATGGTTTGAGTCTAATAGTACTTTACCTTTCCTTTGACATCCTCTTGTCTTCACTTAGCACACTGTCTCCTTATGGCTTCAGTTTTAGCTGAAAAAAGGAACCTCAAACAGATAAGTTTGGATGGCTTTGCTTCTCACCTTTAATAGAGAGAAGGACATGCAAACCACACCCACTTCTGTCTTTAGGGTGTGGCATTAACAGAATAAATTCACTTGTATCATCACATTAGAGGCTTACTACTGCATATTAATTACTGTTATTTAAACGTCTTTCATCCCTGGGTTTTATACTTGAAATAAATCATTATTTGACATTTATAGTAATTAAATGTGACTATACAGTAGCACACTTTTTATTATTCAGTTGATTTTTTATTAAGGGCACCTTATTCATCAAACCTATTCTTCTTCTTCTTCTT